CCAATTCTACCGCTAATCTCATCACAAACAATGCACTGTCTGCTTCAATATTTATGACACACTCCAGTACAGGAAGCTATCCCGTCTCCGCAGGACTCAGGCAGCCATTTTGGGACAGTGCAGCAAACACAAATAAGATATCGTTGTGAATAATATGTGTGCATTGTAAAAGAATATAAGGGTTCAAGCTAGGTTTTGTAGCTAGCAACCGGACAACATAGATTTACTGTAGGAACGGACAGGTCTCAGGTGAAAGCAAGCATTAGAGAAGGACTGGGTTGTTAATTAAAACATTGGTTCATGCTTAAGAAATTCTGAAATATTAACAAATTTAAGTTGCCGCAAAGCTCAATGAATAGTTTAGTTTAAATTGATATTTATGCCTATATGTGTAAAGTCTACTGATGAATACACAGATTTTAGTAAAACATATTATGCTAAATCTACTTTTTTTTTTGCTCTTAACCATGTCACAGTCTTGTCCCCTCATCAAGAATGGACCTGGAGTTGTTTTTAGCTCCATCCACGCTTGCATCAGGAACTTTTTGCTCAAACATGAAACTCTGCTCCTTCTCAGTCCTGTGATCATATGTCGCACTGTTTTGCTTCTTGAAACAAAAGTCGTGTCTGTGAATTAGTTTTTAGTTTATTAGTTAGTTTTAGTTATTCATTAGTTTTTATTATTATTATTATTAGTTAGTTTTAGTTTTATTATTATTAGTTAGTTTTAGTTTTATTATTATTAGTTAGTTATGATTTATTATATCGTTATTATTTATTGTATATATTTATTATTATTAGTTAGTTTTAGTTTTATTATTATTAGCTAGTTATTATTTATTATATCGTTATTATTTATTGTATATATTTATTATTATTAGTTAGTTATGATTTATTATATAGTTATTATTTATTGTATATATTTATTATTATTAGTTAGTTATGATTTATTATATAGTTATTATTTATTATATATATTTATTATTGCTAGTTAGTTCGTTTTAGTTATTAATTCGTATTTCAATTAGTTTTTAGCAGTTTTTAAGGTGATACGACATTCTTTACTATCGCAGAGCAGCCAATAATTGTCAAATTTTGAAAAAGAACAAAGAAATTCAACTCATACCTCTGGTGGTAGCATAGGGTATTGCAGGCAGAAATATATATGGTTTTTTTCGTTTTATCTTTCATACTTTATACACTGGACACTTTCTAAATAATACACATTTCTCCAATTTTAAAACATGAAATAAGAAAAGGTAAATAGTCTCAATAATATTCTTAAAAGCTAACATTAATGCATAATATTTAAAGTACAAGTATTGGCCCAGAATATAGACTCAATTTGTCACGACTTCTATACCCGCATTTTTACTATGAAATAAAATGCAACAATATGTTAAAAGTCCTTGTCTGTGCCCCTTTAGTCTCTCTTTCTCGCTTTCTTCTGGGGTTTTTTTTTGCCTCCGATGACAAACTCCAGACCAACTTCTATATGTGCGGTTTCTATAGCAACCGCCTTTGCAGAGAACTCATCTGTTAATTTCCCAGAAGGCTGTCAAAGGAAGCACGCGTCAGGTTGACACTGCGTGGGAGAGGTTTGTGACTATGCAATGTTTGTGAAATGTTAATCGTAAAAGATGAAAAGGTGGCGTTCCCTTTTTCAAACCCTTTAATTTTTTTTTTGCATATCCTTTCAAATATCAGAAATACATCAAAAGCTATTCATGCTTAGCCTATGGTTGAAGCAAAATGGTTTAAATAAGTAAAAACATCTTCAAGGAGTCGTTCAAAAGCGTGGGACAACTTCATTATCGTAGAATTCAGTCGAAATAATCAATCTAAAAGCAGCAGAAGTCGTCTAAACTTTCCAACATGCAACATTGTTCTCTCTTTTAAAGCTGAGGTACCTGACTTTGTAGCGGGTCTGATTTTCTCCACTCTGCGTTGTGTGGATTTGTGTTGTGGTGCGGAGGAACACACGGGAGGCAAGACTTTGAGGCGTTCTTTTATCTGGTCACAAAATGAAAATACACTGAACATGTGCCTCTGCATCAGTCCCAGCCCAAACTAAAAAGTCACGACGGGTGAATAGCAATGAACAAACTACAGTCAAAATCCTAATAATGCTAAACAGATAAAGTAGGAAGGAGGAGAGGATAGTGCTCAAGTTACCATACTTCTCCAGCAGGGGGCTCCCTATAATTATCTGGGAAAACATGGACATTTTATTTTTCAACATTTCTCTCAAACTTGTCTTCTTCATGTAAGACAGTTGCCACACCTGTCTTCAAACTGAAATACTTTTCTAGACCATGGACCTGCAAGATCTAGAAAAGTGTCATAGGGACTTTATGGTTCAGCGTTCAAGGATCAATACTTCAATCATTCAAATTAATTTTCAATCCATTGACTTTATGTTTAAAAGGTATCAGAGCGACACCAGAGCAAGTACTGAGATTACAGGGCTCTGGTAACACCGTGTAAGAATAATAATGCATCGGTTTTATATAGCGCTTTTTTGGACACTCAAAGACGCTTCTCATGTGTCATTATTCATTCACTCCATACACGGTGGTGATAAACTACTGCTGTAGCCACAGCTGCCCTGGGGCACACTGACAGAAGCGAGGCAACCAGTATGCGCCATCGGCCTCTCCCACCACCACCAACCATTCACACACACACCAGACTCATTCTAGGCAATGGGGGTGAAGTGTCTTGCCTAAGGACACAACGGCAGTTTGGCACTTTACAGCCGCAGCCGCCCCACTGTGGCTGGTGTTCCCAGAGGTTAAGTGTCTTGCCAAGGACACAACAACAGTAGTCAGTGGGAGTCGATGGTGAAAGCGGGGCTTGAACCCACAACCTTCTGGCTCAAAGGCCAACGCTCTACCAACTGAGCTACTGCCGTGTAAGAATGTTTCGGGGAATGGAGGTAAAGCTATCGGACAGTGTGGCATTTAAAATCAGTCAAAAACACTTTATCTGTGTGGGACTTTACTTACTATAACAACACAAATCTGCTTTTCCTTCTATGTTGCAAAGGTCGCACTCGGCGGTCGATAGATTTGGGCCGAGACATGCTGCTCACAGACACACAATCTGGGGTCAGGACTCACAAAACCGTACAACCATGTCTTATGCACACGTATGTCATGCGATTACACACATACAATAGTGTTTTATCATAATGTGGAGGTGCAGAACAAGCTCGAGGACTCCTGGAAAAGAAAAGAAAAGAAAAAGCCTTTTTACTGAGGGAGATTGAACACTGCGGAAAAGGATGTAAAACAGGGGTGTCCGAACTTTTCATTAAGCGGGTCACTTTAGCTCACCAGACTAGTCCAGGGGTCGACATCACAGACTGAAAAACTGTCTTGACTGGCATCGGGCTGTTCTGAGCTTTATGATGATCTATAACGGGTCTGAAGTTGGCTGAATGACAAATGTTTACCATCTACAGCTACAGTAGCATCATTAAGGGAAGTGACACAATCAAAAACCACCTCAGTACGTTCTGGGCTTCAGAGCAAGGTCTGTACTGGCTGAGCTGAAGTTGGATGGATGACACAGAGAACTTTATGATCTTTGGGTTAGCGAGGCAGAGGGCCACATAACATGACACTGAGGGCCGCAATTGGCCCCTGGGCCTGAGTTTGGACAAGCCTGATGTAAAATATGTCAAAAAATATATCTTAATTTGACAACATTTTGACTGCCTTAAAACAAGATTTGCAAAAGGGAAGAGCAAAATGATCATGTTATAAAAAGATACAAGTAAGTAATGTTTATTTATATAGCGCATTTCACAGACCAAGGCACAGACCCAAAGCACTTTCCAATGTTCAGAGTCAGATATTGTTCCAATCCTTCCACACACGGTGATGACAGAAGCGAGTCCAGAACACACTGGACCATCAGCTCCAACACCATCATTCACTCTCTCATTTACATTCAGACCTATTGTGCATGTTTTTAGTGGTAGGGGAAACCGGAGCACCCGGAGGAAACCTACGCAGACACGGAGAGAACATGCAAACTCCACTCAGAAAGGCCCTGTTCCGACCGGGATTCGAACCCAGGATCTTCTTGCTGAGAGGCGAGAGTGCTATCAGCCTGCACCGTGCCGCCCACAAGAAATGTCAGCCTTGGAATGAGAAAATACTTTAGAGCAACAGAAACAAGACGAAATGGATTTGTCCTAATCTTCGCAAATCTTGTTTTAAGACAGTCAGAAAGTGCTCAAATTAAGATAACAATTTCAAGCATTTATTGCCTCAGAATGTCTCTGGTCTTTCTCTGATCCTTCTTTGGTCTCTCTCTGGTCTCTCTCTGGTCTCTCTCTGGTCTCTCTCGCTGGTCTCTTTCTGGTCTCTTTCTGGTCTCTCTCTGGTCTCTCTCGCTGGTCTCTTTCTGGTCTCTCTCTCTCTGGTCTCTTTCGCTGGTCTCTTTCTGGTCTCTCTCTGATCTCTCTCTCTCTGGTCTCTCTCTCTCTGGTCTCTCTCGCTGGTGTCTCTCTCTGGTCTCTCTCGCTGGTCTCTCTCTCTCTGGTCTCTCTCTCTCTGGTCTCTCTCTGATCTCTCTCTCTCTCTGGTCTCTCTCGCTGGTCTCTCTCTCTCTGGTCTCTCTCTCTCTGGTCTCTCTCGCTGGTCTCTCTCTGGTCTCTCTCTCTGGTCTCTCTCTCTCTGGTCTCTCTCGCTGGTCTCTCTCTCTGGTCTCTCTCTGGTCTCTCTCTGGTGTCTCGCTGGTCTCTCTCTGGTCTCTCTCTCTGGTCTCTCTCTGGTCTCTCTCTGGTGTCTCGCTGGTCTCTCTCTGGTCTCTCTCGCTGGTCTCTCTCTCTGGTCTCTCTCTGGTCTCTCTCTGGTGTCTCGCTGGTCTCTCTCTGGTCTCTCTCTCTGGTCTCTCTCTGGTCTCTCTCTGATCTCTGGTCTCTCTCCCTGGTCTCTCTCTCAGAATTATTACCTCAGAATGTATAATTTGCAGTGGTGTTTCCGCAGTGTTGATCAGCTCTAGTGCAGCGTGTTGTTTTGCTGCAGCGTTCAGTCCGTCTGCGGCGAGTCTGAGCGGCTCCGAGGGCAGCGAGCGGGGCAGGACCTGGCTGGAAAACACCTCATCGACTCGCTGTCTGTGTATCGATGGGCCTCGCAGGGGGCCGCTCCCACAGCTTGAAATCCGGCAGCTTTTAGGCTCCGGCTGTGGCCCCAGAGTCGGTGGGAAATGTCAATGATGTGGCCCCGGGAGCACGCTGGGACCAGGGCTTTTACGACTCACTCATTCCTCTGCTTCTCCAGCCTCACTGTGATATTTGCTTTTAAATGACAACAGAAGGATTGATATGTTTATTTTTCATTTTAAATTATCTTCATAGTTGTTTCTTCATAATCATAATTTCAATCCACTTTATGTATATAGCACACATGATAAAAAACAAGTGTCCAAAGTGTTGCACAGAGAAGATAGTAATGCATTTAAATATACAGGTTTGTCAGCTTCAAATGTGGTTTTATTTTTATTTAATTCAGCCATGACATTATTCAAATCATAATAACAATAATAAGAACACAAGTAATTAAATTCAATTACATGTTGCTGAATGGGAGCATGCGGAAGAAAAAGTCGTTATGCCTCTCTCTGGTCTCTCTCTCTGGTCTCTCTCTCTCTGGTCTCTCTCTCTGGTCTCTCTCTGGTCTCTCGCTGGTCTCTCTGGTCTCTCTCTCTGGTCTCTCTCTCTGGTCTCTCTGGTCTCTCTCTCTGGTCTCTCTCATGTCTCTCTCTCTGGTCTCTCTGGGCTCTCTCTCTGGTCCCTCTCTCTCTCTCTGTTATCTGTCTCTCTCTGTTATCTCTCTCTGGTCTCTCTCTCTGGTCTCTCTCTGGTCTCTCTCTGGTCTCTCTCTGGTCTCTCTCTGGTCTCTCTCTCTGGTCTCTCTCTCTGGTCTCTCTCTCTGGTCTCTCTCTCTGGTCTCTCTCTCTCTCTGGTCTCTCTCTCTCTGGTCTCTCTGGTCTCTCTCTGGTCTCTCTGGGCTCTCTCTCTGGTCCCTCTCTCTCTCTGTTATCTGTCTCTCTCTGGTATCTCTCTCTCTGGTCTCTCTCTCTGGTCTCTCTCTCTGGTCTCTGTCTCTCTCTCTCTCTGTTATCTCTCTCTCTCTCTGGTCCTCTCTGGTCTCTCTCTCTGGTCTCTCTCTCTGGTCTCTCTCTGGTCTCTCTCTGGTCTCTCTCTGGTCTCTGTCTCTCTCTCTCTTTGTTATCTCTCCCTCTCTTTGGTCTCTCTCTCTGGTCTCTCTCTCTGGTCTCTCTCTGGTCTCTCTCTCTGGTCTCTGTCTCTCTCTCTCTCTGTTATCTCTCTCTCTCTGGTCTCTCTCTGGTCTCTCTCTGGTCTCTCTCTCTGGTCTCTCTCTGGTCTCTCTCTCTGGTCTCTCTCTGGTCTCTCTCTGGTCTCTCTCTCTGGTCTCTCTCTGGTCTCTCTCTGGTCTCTCTCTGGTCTCTCTCTCTCTCTCTCTGGTCTCTCTCTCTGGTCTCTCTCTGGTCTCTGTCTCTCTCTCTCTCTGTTATCTCCTCTCTCTCTCTGGTCTCTCTCTGGTCTCTCTCTCTGGTCTCTCTCTCTCTCTCGTATCTCTCCCTCTCTGGTCTCTCTCTGGTCTGTCTCTCTCTCGTATCTCTCTCTCTGGTCTCTCTCTCTCTCGTATCTCTCCCTCTCTGGTCTCTCTCTCTCTCTCCCTCTCTGGTCTCTCTCTCTCTCTCCCTCTCTGGTCTCTCTCTCTCTCTTGCGCCTATAATGAAAATGTGAAATGCTGTATTCATATAATCACCGTTACATCACCATGAAAGACTGAAAGTAACTTTAAAACCAAGCTTGGCAGTAAACTCCATCATAAACTTGGGCAAAGTGCTGTAGCTATCGATTGTACCTGTGTCCTATTTCCTCGACACTGACACAAACGAACATTCATTATTTTAGCAACGTCCTTTTCTTTCTCCGTAATACGTCCGATTTATAAAACAGCTCAATCATTTTATCTTGGCGTGTAAACGTTTTAAGAGATCAGGAATGGGCTGAGAGAGCAGGTGTGGTCTGGTAAGTGCAGGTGCAGCAGCCAGACCTCCATTTGTGCTGCTCATAAACTGCATCCACATCTCAGAGCAACGGCAGCGCTCATGACCGAGGGGAGTTTAAAGGGGAAGTGGTCTCTCTCTGGTCTCTCTCTCTCTGGTCTCTCTCTGGTCCCTCTCTCTGTTCTCTCTCTGGTCTCTCTCTGGTCTCTTTCTGTTCTCTCTCTGGTCTCTCTCTGGTCTCTCTCTGGTCTCTCTCTGGTCTCTTTCTGTTCTCTCTCTGGTCTCTCTCTGGTCTCTCTCTGGTCTCTCTCTCTGATCTCTCTCTGGTCTCTCTCTGGTCTCTCTGGTCTCTCTCTCTGATCTCTCGCTGGTCTCTCTCTGGTCTCTCTCTCTAATCTCTCTCTGGTCTCTCTCTGGTCTCTCTCTGGTCTCTCTCTCTGATCTCTCTCTCTCTCTGGTCTCTCTCTTATCTCTCTCTCTGGTCTCTCTGGTCTCTCTCTCTGATCTCTCGCTGGTCTCTCTCTGGTCTCTCTCTCTAATCTCTCTCTGGTCTCTCTCTGGTCTCTCTCTGGTCTCTCTCTCTGATCTCTCTCTCTCTCTCTCTCTGGTCTCTCTCTTATCTCTCTCTCTGGTCTCTCTCTCTGGTCTCTCTCTTGTATCTCTCCCTCTGGTCTCTCTCTCTCTTATCTCCCTGGTCTCTCTCATGTCACTCTCTCTGGGGTCTCTCTCTCTGATCTCTCTCTTCTCTCTCTCTCTGGTCTCCCTCTGGTCTCTCTCTGTGGTCTCTCTCTGGTCTCTCTCTGGTCTCTCTCTGGGCTCTCTCTGGTCTCACTCTGGTCTCACTCTGGTCTCTCTCTAAGCTCTCGCTGGTCTTTCTCTGGTCTCTCTCTCTTATCTCTCTCTAGTCTCTCTCTCTCTTATCTCTCTGGTCTCTCTCTCTGATCTCTCTCTCTGGTCTCTCTCTTATCTCTCTCTCTGGTCTCTCTCTTGTATCTCTCCCTCTGGTCTCTCTCTCTCTTATCTCTCTGGTCTCTCTCATGTCTCTCTCTCTGGTCTCTCTCTCATCACTCTCTCTGGGGTCTCTCTCTCTGATCTCTCTCTCTCTGATCTCTCTCTCTCTGGTCTCTCTCTCTCTGGTCTCTTTCTGGTCTCTTTCTGGTCTCTCTCTTGTCTCTCTCTGGTCTCTCTCTGGTCTCTCTCTGGTCTCTCTCTGGTCTCTCTCTCTGGTCTCTCTCTGGTCTCTCTCTCTGATCTCTCGCTGGTCTCTCTCTCTTATCTCTCTCTTTTATCTCTCTGGTCTCTCTCATGTCTCTCTCTCTGGTCTCTCTCTCATCACTCTCTCTGGGGTCTCTCTCTCTGATCTCTCTCTCTCTCTGGTCTCTCTCTGATCTCTCTCTCTCTGGTCTCCCTCTGGTCTCTCTCCCTTATCTCTCTCTTTCTCTGATCTCTCTCTCTGATCTCTCTCTCTCTTATCTCTCTCTCTGATCTCTCTCTCTGATCTCTCTCTCTGATCTCTCTCTCTGATCTCTCTCTCTCTGATCTCTCTCTCTCTGATCTCTCTCTCTCTGATCTCTCTCTCTGATCTCTCTCTCTGATCTCTCTCTCTGATCTCTCTCTCTCTCTGATCTCTCTCTCTGATCTCTCTCTCTCTTATCTCTCTCTCTGGGGTCTCTCTCTCTCTGATCTCTCTCTCTCTTATCTCTCTCTCTGGGGTCTCTCTCTCTCTTATCTCTCTCTCTGATCGCTCTCTCTCTGGTCTCTCTCTCTGGGGTCTCTCTCTCCCTCTCTCTCTCTCTCTGATCTCTCTCTCTCTTATCTCTCTGGGGTCTCTCTCTCTCTCTCTCTCTTATCTCTCTCTCTGGGGTCTCTCTCTCTCTCTTATCTCTCTCTCTGGGGTCTCTCTCTCCCTCTCTCTCTCTCTCTCTCTCTCTCTCTCTCTTATCTCTCTCTCTTATCTCTCTCTCTGGTCTCTCTCTCTGGTCTCTCTCTCTGGGCTCTCTCTCTGGGTTGGGGTTAGCAATCCATAATCTCCAACTTTTGCATAATCAAGAAGCAAGAATTCGGCTACAAATCTCTGACTTTATCAAGATAACTAAGTAAATATAAAATCTCTACCTTTTGTCACAATAAAGAAGCAATTATACAGTAGCAAGTAGACAAGAGCGCACGCACATTCACACAATGTTCGACAAAGCTGCTCTGCGGTTGTTGCTAGCGACTCGACAGAAGAACACGAGACAAACGGGAGCAATATATTGTTGATGGATTTAAACATCTGCAGTCTTTACCGTTGGAGCGCAGCATATGTTATTGCTACAAGAGCTTTGATAATCAATTCTCTTTAATGCACTTTTAATTTATCGGAACATTTGGTACTGTCTGTTTTCCCATTACAAATCTCCAACCACATTGAGGAGGATCCATTTTGTGATAGACAAGCTCCTCAAGGTCATCCCCGGCTCCATTCAGCGAGATCAACAACAAGGCTTCAGCATTAGGCCCAATCAAACAGCTCTATTGAAAGCAACGCGCTGAAGCCGAACCATCTTTTGAGAATCGGAGATGATAAAACTTTTTTGGCATCCTTTCCCGTTGCTTGTATTTGCAGCTCTCCTTCATAATGAATGGGCTCCTGTCAAATCGGTCCAATTAGTAAAAGCTTGGGTTCAGGAAGAGGCCGGGTCCACCATTCATCTTCAGCTCAGCACTCACTTTCAAAAGTAAATCAACCCTTTTTTAAGTGCGCTTTTAGGTGGGTAAATATGAGCGTGTTGAGCCATGACAGCCATTTAAACCCAGAATAACAGAGCAAACTAGAATGCCAGCAATAACAAAGGGTTGGACTAAAAATGTGGGGAAAAAGTTGTTTTATGTACAGTATTTTGCAGAGGGTCCAACGTAAAAGCTTCCATGATTTATTTTCCAGAACAGATAGTGGTGTATTTCATGGTAAACAGTAAGTGGGCCTTTAGACAATCATACAGAGGATATAAGAGGGAATACCTTAGAAACAGGTGAAACTCTGTAGATAATATTATTTAAAAAAAAAAAAATAATAATCTTAATTATTGTGTTTTTGTCTTTAGAGTTTGATTGGTCAAAACGTCATAATTCAAAACCATAACAAGGCAACAGTTAAAATGCAAAGGAAAAAAATACATTAAAAATACATTAAAAATAAATAATAAATACATTAAAATACATAAAAAATACTGCAAAAATACTGAAAATAATAACTAACAATTAAATAATGTATACATAATAATATATATATATATATATATATATATATATATATATATATATATATATATATATATATATATAATATTGAATAATAATAATACTAATAAAAACTAATGAGTCTGTGTCATAGTTTCACAGACTCATTACACACAACATGAGATATATCAAGCCTACATTTGTTATAATGGTGTTAATTGGCTCACTGCTGTAAAAGCCCCAAAAATAACATAATATAAAACATTGAGTATATTGTGTTGTAAACCATAATCTTTCTAATAATTCTTGGCATATGTCACTGTGCATGTAATGAGTCTATATTCTATTTTAATTGAGTAAATAAATTAACTTTTGTTCACCTGTGTATCAGTCTTTATGCAGTATATATTATTGCTTTGTCTTAATAACTCTGTTTTACACTTTTCATCATTTGGATGAGTAAAAGTATATTCAGATATTTCCCATTTAGAGTGTTTCTGCAAATAAATTGGATAAACTGTAGGCTAACAACAAGTTATCTTAAAAGTTCCCGTGGCAGCAACTTCATCAGCTAATCAAAAAACATAGCTATTCATTCATTCTTTGTTCAACTTTGTTTTAAACCTGCAAGAACGTTTTTTTTATATTGACAAAGACGTCTCTAATTTTCTGTCATTACATCCAAGGATTCTTTATCAAGCATCACTTTGTCAAACCTGAATCAGAAAAGGATAAAGGCGTCTTGAACGGTGTACATTTATATTCTGATTATTTCTCCAGAGCTTGTAGAGAGTCCGGGTCGCAGCAGGTAAAAACTCTGACATTGTCACGGAGAGATGAGAAAATAAACGGCCGTCTCTATCGGCCGCACTGAGACCAGCACTGAGACCGGACCTGCCACTCAGCGCGGCGCCACCTGCCAGTCACGCGAGGCAGCAACACAGTAATGACCCTCATTAAACACTCTGTCCATATGGTGCACACAAACCAACACAGACACACACACACACACACAGTCACACACACACACACAGTCACAAAGCCACAAAGCAGGCCGCTCCAGAGACAAGGCCGAGCCCTGGTCACCGTGGAGACCCGGTGGTGTAGATGACAGGAGAAATATGGCCGCCGCGCTGGGGGTAAGTTTAACGGGCTCGCCGCAGCTGCCTCGGTCGTCCTCCCACATGTCCCCTCGTGTGCAGCACAGTGAGCAGCGAGGAAGACCGAGCAGCGAGGAAGACCGAGCAGGGAGGAAGACCGAGCAGGGAGGAAGACCGAGCAGCGAGGAAGACCGAGCAGCGAGGAAGACCGAGCAGCGAGGAAGACCGAGCAGCGAGGAAGACCGAGCAGCGAGGAAGACCGAGGCCACTGCCACAATCAGAGCAGCTTTGACTGGGAATATTCCTTTCAAAAACTCTGACCATGACGTCGCAATTCCACGTATTTCAACAAATGGACAAATGCAGCGTTTTAGAAGAGGGATGATGCTGTGAAATGTAAATAATAATTATGGAGCGGTTTTGTAAAGTGCTGTTTTAGACACTCAGAATAATAATGCATCGGTTTTATATAGCACTTTTCAGGACACTCAAAGACACTTCTCATGTGTCATTATTCATTCACTCCAAACACGGTGGTGATAAACTACTACTGTAGCCACAGCTGCCCTGGGGCACACTGACAGAAGCGAGGCAACACACACCAGACTCATTCTAGTGTCTTGCCACCAGACTCATTCTAGTGTCTTGCCTAAGGACACAATGGCAGTTTGGCACTTTACAACCGCCCCACTGTGGCTGGTGTTCCCAGAGGTTAAGTGTCTGGCCAAGGACACAACGACAGTAGTCAGTGGGAGTCGATGGTGAAAGTCCTGAGCGGGGCTTGAACCCACGACCTTCTGGCTCAAAGGCCAACGCTCTACCAACTGAGCTACTGCCGCCCAGAATGACCTATGAATCAATAGTCGTCTGAGTTACCTCCACAGTTTGTTATCAGCCTTGGTTTAAACCTGAATTTAAACTTTTTTTTATTGATATTTATAAATTGGAATCATGCATGGATATTTTCACTGTAGGTTTCCTCCAGGTGCTCCAGTTTCTCCTCATCACATCGTGTTTGGAATCTGGTCTGTGAAATATAGACTAACGTTTGCAAAGAGATCTAACAAATATCCTCGGGCCATTGTGGGTCAGTTCAAAAGAGAGTCAACCCCACTCACTGCGCAGACGTTCCCAGGCTATGAACAGAAACGACCAGGCTCCTTCACGGCGTTCATACGAGGATGAAAAACAATGTAGTTCTAGCGCCTGGCCAGTAGTGGGCAGAAGAACACGACACACGCGAGCCCCAGCCCTCCCCCTGCACCTCCTCAACAACATCCACTGCAAGACGTGAAAGTTGCACCAACATCTTTCTGCAGCAGCTAAAATGGAAACTGAAACTAGAGCTTTGCGTGCTCTCGTTTGGACGAACGAAGGAGTAGAATCCTCCTCCGTTAGCGTTCGTAGCTAGTTAGCTAGTTAGTTTACCCGCCGCCGTTGTTGTTTACGTTTGTTCTCGGCTACTGTCCATCCATCCATCCATTTTCTCCCGCTTCATCCGTTGCCGGGTCGCGGGGGCAGCAGTCTAAGCAGAGACGCCCAGACTTCCCTATCCACACACACTTCCTCCAGCTCGTCCGGGGGGACCCCAAGGCGTTCCCAGGCCAGCTGAGAGACATGACCCTCCAGCGTGTCCTGGGTCTTCCCCGGGGCCTCCTCCTCCTGTTCTCGGCTACTACGCATGTCCAAATGTACGTGCGGGGGAGCAGCGGGAGGTGGGGGTCACATCAGACAGGAGAATTCCCCCCTTTTTCACTCTGCAAGGCTGGATCTGAACACTTAAGTTTTCACCTCCAAAAAACAGTCTCCGTAGCAACCGACATCCAACTTTAGCGTTTTACTGCAGCAGCGTCTTCGGCTAAACGGGGCCTTAGCTAATCGGTTTCTGCCATGACTTTGGTTTGAACACTTAAATATATGTAAGGGGTACTTTGTTGTTTTCAAAGGGAACTCTACCTTCTACATTAGATTCATATTTCATTACCATTGGGGTCATTTTGGCCAGTTAACAATTTGTGTATTAATTATGACTCAAAAAGTACTGATAATGACACTTGGTTATGACAAACAAAAGCAATACTCATAAGAAGAAACATCATAGAGACAAATATAGTGTGTGTGGTGCAGGTTTGAAATAAATCAAGTATGCAGCAATTTCACAAGAATATATACAGAGGTTTTTTTCTCAATCAAAGCAAAACTATTGTTATGTATGATATGTATTCACGCTGCTCGGGCCATGACCTTGTGGTGAATGTGGTGAACGTCACATTTCAATGGAACTGCTTTAACATTGATTGTGTGTGTATAAGAGAGCTCTGTCAGTCCTTCTGGTATAGAGCGCTTTTACCTTTTTATCCTTCGTACGATTGTGCAAAACCCAATGTCATTCTAAAGGTGTGAGAGAGCCACCAGCCTCGGCGATCAGGTTTTCAGTCAATGTCAAACGAATGCATCCTCGTTCACCTCCGACCGTTGTGCAAGCTCAGTGTCCAGCCTTCACGCTATTTTCCATTTCTTGTTCCAGTCCACTTTATCTGTATAGCACATTTCATAAAACACGGTTTGGAAGTGCTGCGTGGATTAAAGTAACACATATACAAGTGTCCAGATTTAAATAATACAAATAAATTATAAATAAAACAATACAAATACAATTAAAAAAAATATTTAAAAAACCCACTAGTAATACATAAAAAAACAATTAAAATAATTAAGATAAATTAACAATTAAAATAAAATAAAATCAATTAAAATAAATCAAAAACAATTAATATAAAATAAAAGTAATTAAGATACTATAAAAAATAATTCAAATAGAATTAAAAAAACAAACAAAACAATTCAATTAAAATAAAAACAAATATATATATATATAAATAAACATAAAAGAATAACATGAATAAAATCATGTTAAAAGCCATCCATCCTTTTTCTTCCCCTTAATCCATTTCTGGGTCAGGGGGGTGTCAGTCAGAGCTGCACCCAGTTCACACAGCACCAGCCCCTCACTGATCCTCCTGCAGGTGCTGAGTCCACAGGAGCTGAGATCTTTCAGTGAGGCCTTCAGGCAAAGTGGGGTTAAGTGTCTTGCCCAAGGACACAACGACAGCAGTCATCAGTGGGAGTCGTGAAGCAGGTCTTACGGTGGGCTCGAACCCACAACCTTCAGGCCCAAAGGCCAATGCTCTACCAACTGAGCCACTGTCGCCCACATGTTAAAAGCCAGGGAGTAAAAATGGGTCTTAATAAGACAATACTTAAAAACATTCTTCACAATTGTACAGATGTCGTTCTTACGTTTGGCTGGAGAGTCGACAAAACCCTGTCACGAAACAACGAAAACAAACCCTTACTTTTTAGAGACGTGGAAAGTGATAGTAACGTGATGTTTGTGTGCCAACTCAATGTTTATTTTGTGAAGAAAAAAACCCGAGCTGCAGCTGAAAATCCTGGCACGCACCTCGGTTCCGCTTGCCACGTTCTGGTTTTTCACTGAAACACGCCTGACACTAATATTTAATTATATTCACATTTCACATTTACACCACGCCAGTTTTTGGGCTGTCGTTTTTCACACAATGTTCAGCTTTGGGAGAAGGTGGCTCTATTTTAGGAAGATTTAGACTTATTTCTCTCATTTTATATTCTAGGATAGGTTGATGCCCTGGATTATATGTCGTTTCATTTTTACACCGCCTCATTTATCCGGCCGGAGGATGTGCTCAATCTGTTTCTCCGTTTTTAAAGTTTTTTTGGTCCATAATCCCTTATTTGATGGTTGGTAATTGTTGTAAAATCAATACTTTTACCTCAATCATACAAAAGCAAATTTTCGTAAGGTTTATCTGTAAAAAAATGGACATTTTGATTTTGAAGTTAAATTTGGGGTTTTTCATTCATTATTAGACCAACACAAAAGTGCGTCCGGTTTGATCTCAAGATTTACCGTTACATTTTAACAAACTTGCTACATATTGAAGCTTCGACTGCCACCCCTCTGACCCAGGATTGGATTAAGGGGAAGAACATGGATGGATGGATCAAAAACATATATATTTGTAAGAAACCACACTGCAAAAAAGGGGGGTCTTAAAACAAGATAAAAACACTAAATCTGAGGGAAAATGTACTCAAAACAAGTGAAATTATCTGTCCATGCAGCAAGATAATTTCACTTGACAAGATTTCTTAAATTAAGATTGTTAAATCTAGAAATAAGCATGTCTACAGAGGTGTTTGGAAGGCTTAAAATAAGCCAAACATGCTGGTTTTAAGATGAGATTACTTAAAAAGTAACTTTTTACAGCCTCTAAACAAGTGAAATATACTAAATTTAAGCATAAAATGCTGGTTTTAAGATGAGATTACTTAAAAAGTAACTTTTTACAGCCTCTAAACAAGTGAAATATACTAAATATAAGCATAAAATCCTCGTTTTTAAGATTAGATTACTTAAAAAGTAACTTTTTACAGCCTAGAAATAAGTGAAACATAACTAAATTTAAGCATAAAATGCTGGTTTTAAAATGAGATTACTTAAAAAAGTAACTTTTTACAGCCTCAAAATAAGTGAAATATACTAAATATAAGCAATTACAAACAAAATCTTTCTTACTTTTAGCAAATTTAGCTGAAGATTAGTTAAGAAAAATATTAAATTTAGAGAAAAATACTACACTATTAGTGAAGAATGACTAAACTCTGTCTTAATCCAAGCAGGTTTATCTTGAAAATGAATTAAACTAAGATAGATTTGCAAATTCAAATAACAACCAAGCAGTTCAATCAATTAATAAATCAAATGACACAATATTTACACAACTTACATTTTTAATTCAAATTAAACAGATTTGCTAGTTCAGACAACTCAACTGAAACAGGGGTGCGGCCGCGACCGTAGCGTCTTTTTTTCTTTCACTTAACTTGAAATTTTAAGGCAGCCCTTTCGCTCATATTTTTAAGTTGAAACCATTAGTTACATTTTACAGTGCAGGCCTCGATGAGGTAAAACAATTCAAGCAAATAATTAAGTGACACTGTAATAAACTTGTGGAATACACAAAACCATTGTAAGGCATGGGTAACAATAAGAACAACTGACATGACAAAATACTGCTTGACATTCAGCTACTTGTCAATGAATGATTTCCAATCAGCCATTGCTTTCTTATATGCACTAGTGGCATCTTGATCGTGGATTGTGTCACCAATGACCTCTGTTTGAATAACAGAGAGGAGCGTTGCAACACATTTAGGGTATGTTAAATGCAACGTGTAGTAGTATGCCAATAGCACCAACATCCCTTCTGAGAAATCTTCCTGTGGAAGGGTGGTCACAGGTACATTACCAACAGCCACGATGGTGGTTGATCCATCAAAAAGCAGAACTGGGGAGGAGAGAGGACGCTTCTCCAGATACAGGGTGGGGTCTTCGCCTGACTGGAACAGAAAAAAAAGAACAATGCGTAGAGAGTGAGAAGACATAAAAATGTATTGAAAGTGTATGATCATTTTTAAAATGAAACTATCAGGTTGCAACCAATGACTTGAGCACTCTTAAATTTAAATTCACGTTTAAAAACTCACATCGTTATTATCAGATGAATTGCTTTACAATAGTGTAGGGGGGAACATGTTAAACTGATGTAGGAATTTAGGATTGATTAATACCTGATACAAGCTGATGCAAGGTGCTAATGTTTCATCAGTGAATGAATGAATGAAATAATTAAAGGTTTTGCAAAACATTTTTTGTTATTTCCTTCTGTCAACACCATTTGAGGGACACTAGAGGCACTTCTGTTTTCCCCTTTTGACATACATTAGGTCATATCTATAACTGTGAACTTAGGTGTATTGTTACTAAATGTGAACAAGCACAATAATTTGAGAAAATAAAGGCACTTCAAAGAGGACAGTAAGGAATCAACACAAACATTTCTCACCTTCAGGATATGAAGAAGTGCCTCACAGCTATTCCCAAGCTTCTTTGGTGGTGAAGTTGGTGAGGGGAAGAGGGATGGGAGTGCATTGAAGAGGGCGAGTGTGAAATCCACTAAAGAATATAAGAATGAAAAGAATGGTCTGAATGTTGTACAAATATCAATACATATTGTATGGAACAGCAACTTACCACTGCGGACATCCAAAGGGAAAGGTGGTTTCAGGACTTTCTTCCACACACCGTAGAACTGCACCTTGGCACAGAATTCTGCCCATCTTCCTTTTACTTCCTCAATGTATCTGCTGTTGGTGCCACCTAGTATGCGCTGCAGCTCATCCATTGCCTAAAACAGCATTGTGCACAGTTCAACAGTTAACAATGCATTGAAATTCAGTACACAGATGGATACACAGTAACTCAAGTACAACAAACCAACATACATTTCGAACATCTTTGAAGCATGGATATGCCTCAAAGATTTTTGCAGGTCGGTCCTCTTCCTTTGTAACATCTGCATCAATGAAAGCCCGTCTGGCCTCAAACTCAAGGTCCAAAATATGAGCAACATCATTTTGATTGGGTTTTGCATTGGGCTTATTGTACATGTTGCTCTATGTTCTGTAGTGCCTAGCCTGCATCTTCAGACTGTCCTGGCCCACTGAAATGACAAAAAACCAAGCCGAGACATTTCAATGTTAACACTTTAACAACAACACAGGGGAAATAAAGCGTGGTTAAAATACAATGCACTATTTTTTGGGAAACTTTAATCCAATTTCATGGATGACAGGCTGAGAGGTGTGCTGAGGTGGGCTTACCAAAAACATCCTTTGCAGGCGTGGTTGGTGATGCAGACGTGGTTGGTGAAGCAATCGTGGGTGCGGAGCATGAGGCTGACTCGGATGGCAGCAGTGATGTTTTGGTGCCACTCTTTGGCTTCTTTCGCACAGAGGGGAGTGGTAGTGGGGATGCTTTTTTTTTTTTTTGAAATAATGAAAAAATTCTCAATACAATTATATGACAGGGCAAAATAGGCATATATAAACACAGTGCATGTCTAGCCATGAACTCTGGTTCAACAAATGTGGACAACTATAGTTTCATTACATGATTAAACATTTTTAGTCATAAACAAATTTGTATGACAGCCACCCTTTCATTTTTTTCCCACAATTTGCATACCTGCAGAGTTGTCCTCGCTGATGTCATCATTGCTCTCAAGAAGTATGGTATTATCACTCGAGTAGCTTGTGTCTGTCCAATCTGTCTCCATGTCCTGGTTGTCTGCGCTGAAGAGAGCTGTCTTGGCCGCTCCTCTTTGTGGTACGGAGCCCTGCCTCTTCCTTGGAGATCTCATATTCTGGAGTCGCTTGTACATTTTGGTGTAGATGGTCAGCTGTGGTGAAAGAATGTTAGATAAATTGTTTGTCTTGTTGTTGACCTGTCCACAGTTTTGGTTGAGAAAAATGAAAAATATTACTTACATATGGCATATTTGTGTCAGCATCACGTAACATAGGATAATAGTCGACAATCTTCTGTGACATGGCTCTCATTTCCAGTTTGGAGGGGTATCTTGCTTGTTTACCCATGGGACTAGCACGCAGGATTGCAACCATGCTAGTGATTGTGTTCCTTACAAGTCTGCAACATAGCTCCTTTGACATCTTGTAGTTCTTTTCCTTTCCATTGCAGAGCAATGCAAAGTACTGACTACGCACCATGTCTAACTCTGAATCTGTGTACACCACATACTCTGGAGGGTCTGGCATTTTCATTGTTTTCTCAGCAGATATGGGGGTGGAGGCTTGCGGCTGGCATGGTGGCATGGAGCTAGTTGAGGGCATAATCCCGCTTCCACTGCAAGTGCTGGCATCTTGGTCCGTGGTATTTTCACACTATTAGGATTATGTAGGATGAAAACAAAATGCATTAGGACCATTAAAATATGGTACAATTTAATTTTAATAACTATTATTTATTCCAATTTGTGTTTACATTTTGATTGATGAACTCCCAAAGTTTCTTTCTTCTGAGAAAATGTCCAGGACCAGGAAAAAGATCCTTCAGGTCTTCCCGGCTAAGGCCTTTCAAAGCCTCCTCATCAACACCGGCAGCTGTAATATGACAAATAAATACCTTAAGATGAAGCAATGCCAAGCTACAGTACCAAGCAACATAAAGAGGGGCCATTTATCTCTCCCTCTGAGCTCCAACACATTTGTAAACTGTTTAACTAGTTGTCTGTGCTATGAAGCCTCCTTAAAGTCAGCGAAAATAATCATAAGCCTATCTCACAAAGATGCCAGCCCCAAATAAAATCAAGGATAAAAATATTAAAGTCTGGACTTTAAACATTGGGCTACCTTTATGCCATAAGTTCAGTGTTGGTCATATTTTTTTATTTATTTACATTAACTAATTTAATTAATTCATTTAAATTATTAATCAGCACATTTGAGCTGCAACTGTGGCTATTACTCAAAAAATCAGATAATGAATAGCAAATTTACTAATTAGGTTTTCTTTAGCTATCAGCTTTTATTATTATTCCTACAAACTACATGCCAAAAGCACCTATACATCAAATATAAACTTTATTTGTGACTTACCCTCCAAGACCGATACAGTGGCATCGTCAAAAATATTTTTTATTTTAGAGTTTTAAACTCCTTCTTTCGCCACATTAAACGGACGCACCTTCAGTATTTTCGGACTGGAAGCCCACCAAGTGGATGGAGTACGACGCCTTCTTCTCACTCTTTGGGACAGGAAACATTTGGTGTGTCCGTTTTTGCCAGCTGTAGCACCCCTGCAGCGGACAGCACTGTGGCTGTCCCACCTGGTGCCTCTCTACCTGAACCGTCACAGCAGCCTGACGCTGTCGGCCGCCTTGAATCCGTAAGTCTCCACAGTTCCATTCGTTTTGACCTCTGAGGGCCTATCTCGCCAATTAATTTGCTCTCTGTGTGATGCTGACTTGTGTAAAGTGTTTTGTTTTGTTTTATTTTATTTTATTTCCCACATACAATGGTGTATTCAAAGCCTGGCTTCCTTGAATCCATACCGGGAATGCACGCATTAATCAGGAGTAGGCTATCTTACCTTCTTTTTACAGTCTATATGACACACTCTCTCTTTCATATACAGTAAGCTAATTGTCTTCAGTGAATGCTAAGTTACCTCCGTAACACGACGTTATTCACGTGAAACGCACATAATTGAACGAACTTCACACTTACCTTGGGAAGAGACGATAGAGCTGCTCAGGTCCAAGACCAGTGAGGCAAATGTGGGATTAAAATAATTTTTTCCCCTCTCGTGCATCCTGTTCCTCATCAATTAGTCCGTATTATGGCACGCTTTTCTCCATAAGGAGAAATGGGACAAAATGTTTTCAACTACTGTAACGTTATACAGAGGGCAATAATTGGAAACATTTTCTCATAGACTGTATTATTTACGTGCTTTAGTTCATTTAGTTTTTAGTTGTAAACAAAGTAGTACCCAGTAAAGTTAAGGTTACCTCGGTAATTAGAGCTGGGTACTTACTTGCTGAATAATAACACTGCTGTCTGAGTCAATTTTACACACTCATTGTTTGTTGTAGTCTAATTTATAATCTTGAAAAAAAAAAAAAAACACTTCACTGTAAGAAAAACAAAAAAACAACAACAATTCAAATCAACCCTGATTGTGTCTATCTACTCTTACTTTTATCACTTTCTGAAGGAGCAGGCTGTTGCTGTGACATCCAGAGCCAGACCTGATATTGCTAGATCTGCAGCGGCATTCGCCATCAGTGTCCGGGAACAGTGCCACTTGTCACAGGTAAATTTGTCTTGATGGACAAATGCTTTAATGGTACTATTGATATCGTATAATAATTCCTTGATTATACAATGTTTATAAAAAAATATAATTACTGTAATAATTCCTTTCTATATTTCAATGTTAACTATGGGCCTGTTAGCAATAATTATATGAGGGGAATATATATGTATATATATATTTTTTTTTATATATATTTTCACAGAGAACTGTCAACAGCGTCATCTCGGGGGTGCAACAGTACCAAGCTGCTCTCCTTGACACACTGAGGGAGAGAATCAGAAGGGTGTTTGAAGAGAATCCAGAGACAACTGCTCAGCTCCAAGATGAGGCTTTGGCTACTTTTGATACATTCACGGATCCTTTCTCAACCACAGCATATGGACAGAATAAAACTATCCGGGAACTATTCAATCCAGTCAACCCAGAGGAAGTTGTGATGTCCCAGAAGATTTGTTGGGTAAAGCGTGGTCCTTCAAGGGTCATGGCCTTAAGAAACAAAAGTTTTTACTATGTGCCACTCATTCAAAGTCTCAAGCAGTTACTGACCAATTCTAGAATCTTCACAATGTTGACCACTGTACCACAAAGAAGTAGAGAGGGATTCTTGTATGATTTTACTGATGGAGCCCTTTTTACATCCCACCCCTTATATTCTCAAAGGCCAAATGCATTGCAAATACTATTGTACACCGATGAAATTGAAATATGTAACCCTTTAGGCCCCCATGCCTCTGCAAATAAATTATTGATGTTTTATTACACTTTAGGGAATATTGATCCAAAATTTAGGTCCAAGTTGGCTGCTATAAGACTCCTTGCTATTGCCAAGGCAAATGATATTTCTCAATGCGGTGTTGATGTTATGCTAAAAAGAATCCTAAAAGATCTGACACTTCTTTACAATGGTGTTCGGATTGAAACCCCAAATGGTGAAATTGAGTTGTTTGGTGCGGTGATAGCCTTATGTGGAGATACACTTGCCCAACATGACCTTGCTGGGTTTAAACAAGGTGTTGGTTTTGCTTATAGCAAATGTAGACATTGTGAATGCTCCTTTGATGATATGCAAAGTATTTTTGAGGAGAATAAGTTTGCTGAAAGAACTTTGGAAAACCACATCAGGCAATGTCTTGAAATAGACAAAGCAAGCACAGAAACATTGAAAGCATCCCTCAAAACCACTTACGTATGGAGCTATTATTGTTTCAATAATATTTGTGTGTGCGTAAAAAGATTTGTGCGTGCGTAACCAGATTTGTGTGTGCGTACCCAGATTTGTGTGTGCGTAACCAGATTTGTACGTGCGTAACCAGATTTGTGTGTGTGTAAAAGAAATATTTGTGCGTGCGTAAATAGATTTGTATGTACGTATCAAGATTTGTGTGTGCGTAAAAAGATTTGTGTGTGCGTAAAAAGATTTGTGTGTGCGTAGAAAGATTTGTGTGTGTGTAAAGAAAAAAAAAAGTAAGTTTTACACACAAGTTTTTTTTTTACACACGAATCTTTTGACGCAGTCCTGCCTTAACAGATTCGCAAGTGTAACTTGGACTGTGTGCGTGCGTAAACAGATTTGTGTGTGTGTAATTTGACATTTGTATCTGTAGCAGAACAATCTGTGTGTAAATAACCGCGTTGTACAAAGAGAAGAACGGGAAAAAGCCTAAGTGCTACGCACAGGCTCTGTTTTACACACGAATCTCTTTTTGACACACCTCTGCCGCCAAGCGTGTGTCAAAAAGATTTGTATGTGTAATGTGGTTGTTCTAGCAGTACACCAGCAGATGGTGCTGTTGTAGCTGGTTATTACCTACACTCAAGCAAACCAAAACCTACTGCCTTGACAAGACACACTACCGCAGCTGTTTATGATATTTTTTTCCTATTTTCAAAATCCTGTCATTCACACCACTGTATTATACATGGATCTATTATAATAACTGGATAGGTGTTACTAGCTTGGAGCTGAAGAATTCTCACGTACTGCAGACTAAATTCACGTTGGCTACACAGAAATTTTCCCCATAGAACTCAAAGTAAACTAAAACAGCTGACAGATAACCTACAGCTTTCATAAAGGTCGGATTTTGTGGGAATTTTAGTGTTCCTTGTCATCCTGAACTTTTCTTCTTCTTAAATCCTTCGGTTTTCTCTATCTACACTTGTTGGTTTGCTTGAGTGTAGGTAATAACCAGCTACAACAGCACCATCTGCTGGTGTACTGCTAGAACAACCACATTACACTTACAAATCTTTTTGACACACGCTTGGCGGCAGAGGTGTGTCAAAAAGAGATTCGTGTGTAAAACAGAGCCTGTGCGTAGCACTTAGGCTTTTTCCCGTTCTTCTCTTTGTACAACGCGGTTATTTACACACAGATTGTTCTGTTACAGATACAAATGTCAAATTACACACACACAAATCTGTTTACGCACACACACAGTCCAAGTTACACTTGCGAATCTGCGAAGGCAGGACTGCGTCAAAAGATTCGTGTGTAAAAAAAAAACTTGTGTGTAAAACTTACTTTTTTTTTTTCTTTACACACAAATTCTACACACACAACCTTTTACAATCTTGATACGTACATACAAATCTATTTACACACGCACAAATATTTCTTTTACACACACACAAATCTGGTTACGCACGCACAAATCTGGTTACGCACACACAAATCTGGTTACGCACGCACAAATCTGGTTACGCACGCACAAATCTTTTTACGCACACACAAATATTATTGAAACAATAATAGCTCCATACTTACGGGATTAACAGAAGAAGCAGGCTAGTTGATTTTCCAGCATTTGACCTGATCAAACAAACTCCACAGGATATAATGCATGTAATTTTTGAAGGTGTTGCACCAATGGAAATAAAGCTTGTGTTAAAAAACCTGATTCTGTCAGGACAGATAGAATTAGATGAGATTAACTCAGCTATTATAACTTTTCCTTACTCACCTCTAGATATACGAGATAAGCCATGTCCTATTAGTGTCAGCACTTTAGCTGCTAATGACAATAAAATAAAACAGTCATGTGGACAAATGTTAATACTTTTGAAAATACTACCTTTCATTTTGAATGATATGGACAGTGAGTATGTGAAATTTATTTTCAAATTAATTCAGATTGTTCAAATTATCCTTGCTCCTGTTATTTCATTAGAAACTGTATTGCGGCTCAGGCACATGATTGAGCAACATCTGCATCAGTTCAAAGAACTTTTTTCTGAATCCAATGTCATTCCCAAGCAGCATTACATGCTCCATCTACCTAGCCAAATCATATCTTTTGGTCCTTTAGTAAGAAGTATGTGTATGCGATTTGAAGCTAAGCATAGCTATTTTAAGCAGTGGGCTTCCAAGTTAAATTTCAAAAATGTATGTAAATCGCTTGCAAACCATAATCAGTTCCTTGAATGTTGTCAAAATGAAATAGGCACTGAGCATCCAATTTTTGCTAGTGAAAGAGAATCAGGGCCTGTCTCAGCTGTCAAAAATGTTGATTATGTTAAAAGAAAAGTCAAAGATTTTTTAGGCATAGAGGTCATGCAATCTGTTGTCTCTGTGAAATGGTACATCCTCAATGGAAATAAGTACATAAGTGGGAAATCTATGATTATTGTAGCTGTAGATGGTGCTTTCCCAGTGTTCGGACTGATTAAAGATATCTTTGTGATAGATTCCTCTTTAGTTGCTTTTGAGTACCAACGTTATGAAACACTGAATCTGAATCCAGAGTTGCTGGCATATGAGGTGGCAGTTCCCAATGTTGCCCAGGCTACAGAATTTGTAAAAGAACTAATTGACTGCATTTCCTATTTTCCAGTTAGTTTCAAAGACAATACCTTTGTTCCAATAAAATACAGTCTTTGTGACATTATTGCCCACAGACAATAATCTGGAGGAACAATAAGTACTGTATGTATGGGTGTATCATACCATACACATCATGTATTGTGTTGGGTGAACCCAGTTTGCCTGTTTTCTGTTTGCTTTGCCAGTTTTGTGAACATCATCAGCTTGAAGTCAGAGAAATAAACTCTGTTTTTCAGATGCTTTTTGTGTGACTCTTGAATCAAGCAAGTTGAGTTTGTTACTGAATCTTAAAACAAGATTTATTTGAGGAGACTTTGGGTAAAAGATGTAATATATCTTATTTTAACAGTTATTTACCTCATTTTAAGATTCCCTGCCTATTTGAGACAAAAAAGACAAGGTTTGCTTGATATAAGATTGTAGTGTAAAGTTGAACACTTAAAATAAGAAATTAACTCTTAAAACAAGACAAATTATCTAACACTTCTAAATCTAAGTTTTTTTTTCTTGGTAAGAACCAAATAATTTGCAGTGCAGTCCGTGTATCTGCGTATTTAGTCCTGCAGGCTCCTCTCAGAGTTGGGGTGAGCACTTTCCCTCCTGGGTTTGTCTCTTCAGAACAGGGCCTTTCTGAGTGTCCTCCAGGTGCTCCGATTTCCATTGGTCAAATACACCTCTTCCAGTCCTGACCAAGCTGCGCGTTTACATCTGGAACTGTATGACTTAGGCGTTTGCAGACCGCATTTTCTTTTACCGCCTTCAAGCAACGCCGCAGAATAATCCTCATATCAGAGTGAAGGTGTTGTGTCGGGATGAGCGGTGGGAGAGGTCTGGTGTGTGAGAATTGACTTAAATAAAAGTCTGAGTTGCTCAAATACAAATATTATGTCACCTTTAAGTTTGTTTGTAGATTATCACAATCAGATGTTGTTGCTGGAAATCATAAAAACTGAAATTACAGTTCATTGCAAATAAAATAATATTATTTTGGGAATAGATATCTTGACTTTTTGTCTCGTTGGGTCTCGTTGGGTCTCGTTGGGTCTTGTTGAGTATTGTTGAGTCTTGTTGGGTCTTGTTGGGTCTCGTTGGGTCTCGTTGGGTCTCGTTGGGTCTCGTTGAGTCTCGTTGGGTCTCGTTGAGTCTTGTTGGGTCTCGTTGGTGTCTCGTTGGGTCTCGTTGGGTCTCGTTGAGTCTCGTTGGGTCTCGTTGGGTCTTGTTGAGTCTTGTTGGGTCTCGTTGGGTCTTGTTGGGTCTTGTTGGGTCTCGTTGGGTCTTGTTGGTGGGCGAACCATTCTTTTCTCTATCTTAATGTATATGTAAACTGTCAAAATGTGCACAACTCAACTATCTCTCTTTTTTTCTCTCTTGTCTCTTCATAGGTACAGTCTGTCTCTCTTGAAGTGGTTTTTCTTACTCCGAACAAGCTTCAAACATTCAGAATATTAATGTAGAAAAGG